TCCTTGACCTTCTCAAACTAAATTTTAGATCTTGGTTTGCCCCATACGCTAAGCAAAAAATCGACGGTTCTCGCAGTTTTGGTCCCGAAAAAATTGCCAATTTAGAGTGTTGTGGGCCCCCCTAGGGGCAAGACCCTAGAGCAATTTTCAGAGTTTAACCTCAGAAATATTGTTCTTTTTATCCTGGATACTCTCAACTAAAATTTGTGATTTATGACGATTTCTAATAGGCCATAGGCGATCTTTAAAGTGTCGTGACCCTCAAAGGGGGCAAAGCCCTAAAATAATTTTTTAAAGTTGTCTTCAGAAAAATTGCTCTTTACAACCTGATTACTCTCAACTAAAAATTTCTATTTTTTGACGCTTTCAAATAGGCCCTATGGCATCTGTAAAGTATCGTGAACCTCTAAGGGGGCAAAGCCCTAAAACAATTTTTAAAATTTGACTTCAGAAAAGTTGCCTTTTACAATCTGAATACTCTCAACTAAAAATTTGTGTTTTTTGACGCTTTCAAATAGGCCCCATGGCGTCTGTAAAGTGTCGTCACCCTCGAAGGGGGGCAAAGCCCTATGAAAATATGGATTATTTAAATTTAAATATAGATTATGTCACCCCCAACACTCTAAACTTAAATTTCATAATTTTTTCCCTTCCATTCTGGTAAATATGACTTATTCCATTTCCGTTTGGTTCTATTAGGGGGCGAAGCCCTAACGCATGTTGTACATTTTCTGAACGAAACTGTTGATCTCCTTACAGTCAATGCACTCAGCATAAATTTGATGCATTTTTGCACGTCTAAGTTTACGTAAATGCCTGACTTGAACTGATTTAAGCCTGTTATGGGGCGAAGCCCTAACCTAATTTCGAAAATTTTTAAACTTAACCGCGAATCTCCATCACTTGTAGACTGGCAACCGAAATTGGAGATTTTAGCTAGTTTTCGTTAAGGAAAAATTACGTTTTTAAAGCAACGTGAGCTTCTCGAGGGGCGAAGCCCTGAAAAAAATTGCAAGTTTTTTCGCCAAAAATTGAGATCTGTCAAGACTGAAGACTCTAAACTAAAAATTTTACCCTTTTTTATTTTTGTTTAGCCAATAGGGATAATTTAACGCCTCATGA